GGCGGCGGCGGCGGCGGCGGCGGGCTCAGCGTGGAGGAGCGCTTCTCGGACGACCAGCTGGTGTCCATGTCGGTGCGGGAGCTCAACAGACACCTGCGCGGCTTCACCAAGGACGAGGTCATCCGCCTCAAACAAAAGCGCAGGACCCTGAAGAATCGCGGCTACGCGCAGTCGTGCAGGTTCAAGCGGGTGCAGCAGAAGCACGTGCTGGAGAACGAGAAGACGCAGCTGATGAACCAGGTGGAGCAGCTCAAGGCAGAAATCAGCCGCCTGGCCAGGGAGAGGGACGCCTACAAACTCAAGTGCGAGAAACTCGCCGGCTCTGGATCGGGGCCCAGCGGCGGCTTCCGCGAGGCGGGCTCGACCAGCGACAACCCCTCCTCGCCAGAGTTCTTCATGTGAGTTGTTTTCCCAGGACCACGGACGACCGAGAGACAGCATTCACCCCGAACACAAATTGACTGATGACAACACTGACAAGAAACCGATTAGGACTCCGGGGCGACAAATAGATCCACATGTAATCACGTGTCCATCCAGGCGTCCACCGAGGTGTCGTGGCAGCGTCTTTGTAAACTAGACTTGCTCGTTGATGAGACTTTTCAATTCTCTCCTCCGAGAAAATAATCGCCAGATGAACTGTGGCCCTCCTTGAGGCTTTTACCACATAATCTTGCTGTTAAATGGTGGAGCACGCAGGCTCAGCAAGGAGGCCTGGCGTCGAGAATCCCCCCCCCCCCAAAAAAATAAAAACAAAACAAAACAAACAAAAACAAGCAAGACTCCACTTTATGCAAATCTGTCGACTAGCCAGACACCGGGGAGGACATTTTATGCAACATCTCATTGATTTCTTGCCTGCTTGGTTATTATATTCCAATATATAGAGAAACAAACGAAAACATGCATTAAATATTAATCCTGCATGCTGGACATGTATGGTAATAATTTCTATTTTGTACTTTCATTATCTCCTGTATATTAATAAGAGCATGTTGTTGATCTGCGCTTCTCCATATAGTTTTTGGGGAGGGATCGAGAAAAGCAGCGGGGACAGAACAGCAGGACTGCCTGTGCAGCATCGTATAGCGTCATATGCTCGCGGCCGGCGGGGAAGGCTGGGGGAATTATTTGGGCTTGTAAATATTACGCAACCGCAAAACTGCACAAGATCGAGGAGGCTGGTTTGAACTTCTTTCTTTCTTTGTGTTACGTTTCTCATTTATATTTTTTACGTTCAATTATCATTTCTCATTTGCGGGACTGACTGAGAGAGGAGTGCACTTTTGTTCCATGTTTGGCTGTTGAATTGGAGACGACAACAACAACAAACTTTGCGGCGAGTGCACTTTTGGATGATGATTTTTTTGGGGAGCAAGTTTTCATTTTGACATTTGCACAGACCCCCCCTCCGGGAAAACAATTCGATGCTTTAAGATTGAAGTGCAAAAATAAATATTGACGGGAGTTTATGACGACGTTATCTTTTCGGGGGACGCAGATTACACGATTGTCTATTGACTCATTAACATACACACTCAGGGTGAGAATTTGGACAGGCAATAATATTTAAAAATGACGTGATATTTCTACCCCCTTTACCTTGTGATTTGGTTGATTGTGAACAGAAATAATCAAAATAATTTCGATTGACAGCCACTTGTAGCATCATTAGCGCAGCAAAGATTTATAGATTGTATTGCAGCGTATTTCTTATTTAGGTATGTCGTGATGCAAAGTTTGTCATTCTTGTTGTGTTTTCCTGATTTTTTTTCTGCAGGCCAGGGAAAAAAGGGGATTCGGGTGGTGCAAATGCTCAAAATGAAAATATTTTATATGTTATTACGTGCTGATTTGATTTGTTTGTATTATTATTTTATGATTCTGGTTCTGCTGGCCAGATGCATAGTTACATAAAGTTTTTATTTTAATGATTTAAATTAACAGATTGTCAGATCATATCGAATAAGCATGGTGCTTGCATTTGAAAGTATTGTTGAAAAGTCATGCATTTATCAATCTTTGGTTTTCTTGATTCAACTGTGTTGAAATCGAACTGAAACTGCAGCAGCGGGTTGTTGTTTTGTTTTCAGCATTGCCATGTACTTTGTCATGTTGGGGATCAATTTTCAATCCTGTTTATATGAATAATATAGTTAAACACTTAAATTTGAACTGTTCCATTCAGGCTGGTTTCTGTTTTGTCTTATTTTGGGGTTGTTTTTGGAAGAAATTGTTTCCTATTTTGCTTATTAAAGTCATCGAAATGGCAATATTCCATCTCAGACTTTGTACTATAGCAAGTCATTTATTTAATTCGATTTTTTTGCACATCGTCATCATTGCGCCATTTTAATATCCTAAGGCATTCACGTTACAATAAACTGCAGTTATAGCGGTGATGATTCGGTAGTCACAAACAAGAAATTTTGAATATTCTACACTTGATTTTCCACAGCTATCGCACATAACTTGCACGTGGTGTGTTTCTGGATGTGTCGGGCCGGGTGGGGGTCGGGGGTGCGGGGCGCCGTTTGTGGTGCGTGCTACTGGCCTCTGCTGACTTGTGCACAAACCTCCGCGAGATCTTGACCTTGCAACAGAGGAAAAATAAAATCAACCCCCTGGATTTACATTGAGGTGAGGAATCATTTTGGGGGTTGTGCATGGCTTTGAATACACTTAGAAGCTCAACCTGGTGTGTTGGAGGGGAAAAAAAAACCAAGGTCCTATTTCTCATCGCCTGCTGAGATGATACGAATGCGATCATATGTGGCCCATTTTTATTGTTAAAACTGATGACAATTATAAGTGACGTGAGGCCATACACACATTATTCGCGCATTGCTGAGTGCATTTTTTTTGTCGTGAATGTGTGGTGATTCAACTGCATGAAATTCTCAACACGCGCACAACCAGCGCACATAACGTAGATAAAAAGCAGCAAAAGTAGCAAGTTTTGATGTGATATCCTGGTGTCGGAGTATTATCTGACCCGTGTCTGCACATTCGCTAGGACGACGAGAAGGGAAGTCGGAGAGGCTGTAGTTTTACATTCTCCGTCCCGGTTCTGCAGTCTGAGGGCAGTGGTGCAGCTGTATGGGCTGAACCAGGACAAACGGGTTCCCACACTCTTCCACGTAGTGTTGAGTGATCAACACTGAAGGAAAAAGGGGAAGGTTTGTTGTCCTTTCTGAATATGCACCTTATATATATATATATATATATATATATGAGTGTGTGCGTGTGTGTGTGTGTGTGTGTGTTTCCGTTTTTTTGGTTTGCTATGTGCTGATGCTGATGCTGACAACACTCAATTTAGTCTTGCAGTTAAAAGTGAAAGCTGAAATTATGATTATTATTATTATTATTATTTCCATTTTTATTTTTATTTTTCCATCTATGCCAGTGACATAATAGTGGCAGGCATAATAAATATATTTCTTTTCATTTGGATGACCAAACCGTATATCCCACTGTTGCCATTCATCCAACCTAATAAGTCATTGTTCCCTGCAAGTAAATCAGCTTTGTGTTGTTCAACTATACAAGCCTAGATTTCACACTGAGTAAGTACATTTGTGACAAAACCGAGACAAGGTCGCTCATTCGGTATGCAGACTTTTTTTTTTTTTTTTTAGTAGTTTATTCGTCGAATGGTTAGCACGTCGCCCTTATACAGAGTCGACTCCGGCCTTCCTGTGTGGTGTTTGCACGTTCTCCCTGTGCCTGCGTGGATTATCTCCGGGTACTCTGGCTTCCTCCCAAATTCCCAAAACATGCATGGCAGGTTAATAGAACACTACATTATCTCCAGGTGTAATTATGAGCAGAAATGATTGTTTGTCTCTGTGTGTCCTGCGATTGTCTGGCCACCAGTTCAGGGTGTCCCCAGCCTACTGCCCAAAGACAGCTGGGATAGGCTCAAGAACGACTCTTGTGAGGATAAGCGGATTAGAAAATATATTGATGTATGTTTTTTGGTTTACCATGAGGTTTTTCTTCCTCAAAATACTTGCCTTGATTCCACAGGTTAGCAAACATCGATTCTATAGTTACTCGAATCAATAACAGCTCAATTTGTTAACTAAGTCTATCATGTATGATGCACATAAACTAAGACTATTACTCTCTACTTAAAGATAGTTATGTGTGAGTTAGCTCACCTCAAGCATAAAGTACATTAACTTTTTCAGGAACATCAACACACCCAATTGTCATCTTTTTGACTCTCAACACCACCGCACTGGATTTCAAAAGAAACGAGCAAGATGTTCCTTTCATCTTCCATTTGAGGAGATTTACAGTACACCCAAATCGGGTAACTGCTTTAGGAATTGGAACCGTTAGTCGGGCTATATTTCTCCCAGTTTTTATGACGGGGGCGGGCTAACTCCATGCGAGCATCAAATATCCTCAGATTAAACCAAGTCCATGAGAAACAAAGCACTTCAGTCATGAACATAGTCATTTCCAGCTACTTGTAATTCCAGTGTTCGTTTTATGGACCAGAGATCTTGCGTTGGATGTACTATATAAGGACTCAGTAGCGATGGCATACGATGCTGATGCTAGCATCATTATGGGCACGCCATCAGACATCAACATGATGGGTATAGATGTCATGATGCGCCGCCGTAACTATGCATTCCGCCATCTTGGGTTAGCGCTCATGATGGGGGAAAAACAGTTGCACGAAAGGAACGAACATAATCAATTCGCACCAAACCAAAACAGTTGAACAACTGGATTTGATTGTTTTCAATTCATATATATATATATATATATATATATATGTGTATATATGTGTGTATATATATATATATATATATTCTCCACACAGTCACATATATTATGACAACACCTCCGACTCATTTGTATTATGTATTGTAATATCTCAACTTGGTAACAGTATCACTGACGCGCACGACCTGGTTTTGCAATTTTCGTCATAAAAGCGAACGATCCAGCAGAAGAGTTTCGCTCCATGTTGTGAAACTGTAGAAGAAGAGCAAAGATGAACAAAGGTGACAGGGGAGAGTAGACAAGAGCACAAGTCTCAGCTCAGCGGAAGAGCCAAGGACACGGTGACCAGGCGTTCGTAATGATTTTAGTCTCCGATCACACATTCATGCCCCCCTGCAGAGATCCTATCTGCATTCAGGCTCCTCATCCTCTCCTCAGCAGCAGCAGCGGCAGCCGCACCGCTAACGGGAGCCCAGACTCTTCAGACCAGTTTTCAAAACGTGAGGTCGTCCACTCCCCAAGTCTTGGCTGTGCTAATGTTTGCGTATTTCACCCTGTTTGACCCCTGTCTCCAAACAGCATGAGCTCATTTGGCGCTTGCATAATTAGCAAGATGCTCATCGTACAATATGCATTCCCAGAGTCCACGTGTGGTTAGTTTAATTGCTGGTTCTAATTTTTTCTGTAAACACTCACAAAGAGAACCAGTCCAGGTCCCCACCACAAGAACGGTCTAAGTGAGCTTTCTGCTTGCAAATCGAAATGATTCCTTTGGAGATTAACATGAGTGGGCAGAGTAACAAAAAATTCTAATACGGTAGGTTTGGAGTTTTCATTATACTTCAGTTTCTATGTTGTTTAGATTTTTTTCCCCCTGAATTCAGTTAGTTTTAATTAGAGTTTTAAAAATGTTTTTTTATTTTTTATTTTTTTTTTTTAGTTTTTGGTAAAAATGCTTAGTTGCAGTTTTTTTTTTGTTTTGGTTTTGGTTTTTTGCAATATGATGTATTTGTCAGGTGGGAGTTTAAATAGAGTCACAGTAAGTTTTGTTCATTAAAAACTCAAAAAAGATAAAGACAACATAACAAGATGAAAAGGATATTAACTTACTAACATTAAATTATAATCATCAATAAAGTCTGTTTCGTTACATAAAAAAATGAGACCAAGAGAAATAATTTCAAATATTACTCCATTATTAATGTGACCTATAGTGTACAACTCCATTGAAAAAAGGAAACCTTTTTGAGCTGGGTCGCAAAATTAAACTGACATGAGGTGATGATTTTCACAAGTGTGCAAACAATCTTATAATTGGGGATATGGTCATGTTCATATTTACCACAGTTTAACTCATGACATGCGAGTCAACACACACCTATCACCATTCAAAGTTTCCCTGCTTAACCCTACAACAGTTCAGTTGTTCTCGCGGGCTTTTCCTGACTTTTTTCCTGGCAGAAGCCTGAAGATTAAGTGATAAAACTTACTGCTATTTGACACTGTTTATAATTCCCTCTACATGGCCTATAAGGTTCCAATCGCAGCAAAAGAAAAACAGCCCCAAAGCATGATGCTGCCACCACTATGCTTCACTCTAGGTGTGTTCTTTTGGTGAGGAGCAGTCTTGTGTGTGTGCCCAACATACCTTTTGGAAATATGGCCACAAAGTTCAACCTCGGTTTCATCGGACCATAACCAGCTAACCAGTGCGTTCTCCAGTTGATGGTATTTCTGCATGTTTAATCACCAGTCACAGTGACCTGCTTCCATGACTAGGCATTTGCTTTTGTCCGAGATGTAATCATAATCAAAAAACCCAAATTGGCCTCTGCCGTTTTCTCGCCACTTTCGTCACTATAGGGGTGTTCACACGGCAAGATTTGCTCCAGCGCTACGCCGGGGCTGCGCCAGTCGAGCGTTCACACGTGCAAATTTGCTCTGGCTGCGAGGGGGGAGTAGCCTCGCTACGCATGAGAAGAGTTGATTACGTACGGCGAGAATGCGTTGCTTTTGTGCTCTGTCGGACTTCCGTCATGTGTTTGTTTAATAACGACACAAGACGAGGCTGGTAACGGTAGCAAAGCACCTCTTGGGTTATACCATCTCAACTAGAACGCGGGGGGGATAGTCTCCAAATGTCATCTTTCCTTTTGTAAGAGACTGGACTGTCTCGGAGTTGTTTGTGTAGTTTGTTCCTTTGTTGTGTGTTCACAACCCCCCCGTGCCCCATAGAATTTATTTTGTGATTTCCTCTCTTGATTTTGCTGTTTGGCGCATTACATTTTTGCTTTTCTGAGTGTCATTGAAGTCATCGTTGATTTACGTTTTCGGGGGCGGTCAGTCTCGAGCAGAAGGCACGGAGACCGAGAAGGAGAAGGACGTGCCTGTACAGTCGTTGCTTGAGTTGTGGATACGTTTTAAAAAGAACCCACACGACAGCTCATTGGTTTTCTGTCGTTTTGCTCCGCTGCAGAAACTGCCGTGTGAACGCAAGTGGAGCTGCACCGACGCTGCGCCGGTGCTA